ATTACTAAATCTAGTCTTTTTTCTATAGTATGTTATGTTGTCTAATATCTAACTTTACTTCTTTATTACGCGCAGGCTAGTTTAATTGCATAAGTAAGAGTAGTAAAAGCTTATAAGTAGTAAAATACTTATTAGGCTATATAATCTAATTCTTTTTTATATCTAGTTAGAGTTTAAAATAACATAGCTATTTAATGCTAATAATATAATCTTATAAGCTAAGGTTTATAATTATAAAGAGGCAGTTTTAAATGCTTCTACTATTAATTTACATGTGTAGGCAGATATACTAGTAGACAAGAGCTTAGAGTTAGTCTTAAAAACCCTTAACTATAACGTACTTCATAGGCAAGTTGCTTACACACCTAAGTTGCTTACTTTTGCTAAGACCCTACTACACTACTTTTTTTACACTAATGCATTTCTAATAACACTACTTAAACATGTTAAAGAAATGTTAGATGCAGCTTACACTTTAGGCTTTTAAATAAGATGTAACACTTTTTAACTAACACGCTGCAGCTATCTACAAAGTCTTTTAAAAAATAATAAGTAACTAACGCGCTAGATAACCTTTCTAAGCTAATTATATAGCTAACTTATAAAAGCTAGATAATAATAAAGAGCAGGTAATTATTTAGCACATACTTAAGCTAGATGTGTAAGGATTTTCCTTCTAGCTAGCAGCTATAGCTAATATAGCTAATTCTTTACACACTAAGCATAATATAGGCTATGTTAGCATAAACTAGCTTAATATATTTATTAAGTGTTACTTAAAGCTTAAAGTAAAGTTTAAGTGTAAGTATAACTATAAAAAAGCTTTTTATAAGAATCTTATAGTAATTTAAAGCTAGTTTAACTTTATAAAGAATATTAAAGCTAAGTATAGCATCTAAAATAACAACATGTACAACTTTAATAAGATAAAGTTTATAATAGGCTAGATATCTACTAGAGTAGTTATTATAGGTTTAGAGAGATAAGGACAGCTAAAAGTAGTCTAGCTAGGTAACTAGAAGTAGACAACAGCTATCTAGGGCATTAATGCTAAAAAGTAGGCTATTTTACTTTTTATTATTTTTTAAGGTAGCAACTACTTTTTAAACTAGTATAAAAAAAATTTACTTTAAAATTAAGTTATTATAATCTCTAAGCGCAGCTAGACTACTAATTAGCTTAGTCTAGACTAGTTAAAGCACTTTAACGCGCATATAAAGAAGTGTACTGTTAACAGCTACTATCTACTAGTTATTAACAGCTATAAGAGCTATAACTTACTTTATTTTTAGTAATACTATAAAAATAATAAAATTATTACTATTTATATGCTTTTTTACTTATTACACTTTTTATAGCTACTTAATGTAGGTTGTTTTACTCTTTTAAAAAAAGTGTATAAGCGCTAAGCTAAAAACCTTATATATAACTAGATTACTTATATTATAAAAATAAAGTTCTTACTATGCTTTAAAGTAGCCTATAATGCTATAATTACTTTTAGTAATATCTAAGAAGAGTTTTAAGGCGCTAGATTAGTTTTTTTTAACCTATAATAAGTTATAATAGGCCTTAATATAAAGTTACGCACTTTATTACTACTACTACTTATATATAACAAGCCTTAGTAGTTGTAAACTCTAAGTAATACTTTAAAACTTAAGTTATAATTAATGCTTATTGTCGGTTGACCTAGGTTCGATCGAACGAACGTACGCCCAAGGGGCGTACTAAGAGGTGAGCAGGCAAAGATCTTCTTGTTATTGACTACTGCCCTCTCTCTTCGTACGAAGAAAGAGGGCTCTTAAGTACACATAGCCCCTAACGCACAGGCCAGATAGCCAACGTTTCAGGCAACCTAATTCAGCCGTACGCGTGTACAGACACAGCTGTACTTACGTACAGACACTTATAAAAATAAAAATTTAAAAGCATATAAATAGTTTACTAACTTTTATAGTTAAGGTGTTTAAAAAGAGTTTAAAAGAGGCAGTAATAATTGCGCATAAGCTAGTGTTAGCATAATAAGAAATTACTAAGCTTTAAGTAGCTAATAAAGCTGCTACGCAACATAAATTACATAAAAAAAAAGTAAATTAAAGTAAAAAAAACCTTAATAATTTAGAAAAGCCTACACTTAATAGCTTTAAAAAAGTTTAGAGCGCACAGTAATAGAAAAAAGGCAAAAAAGCAGGTGTAAGCTAAAGTAGGTAAGCTATTCTAAAGGCGCTATAGACAGTGCAATTAGACTAGGCATAACGCGCAAACATGTAAGCAAGAAGCAGAAGTAGTATCTAAATAATATTCTAGGCTGTACTGTACTATATAGTGCTAGAGCGGGTTGTTATAGGCTATAATAGAGTTTGTTAGGGTGGGGTCTTGGCAAAAGTGAGCGACTCAGGTGTGTGAGCAACTCGCCCATGAAGTACGTTAACTTTAAAAGGTAAACATTAGATAAAGATATAAAAGCATTAGAATAAAAACTTAGTAGTTATTAAGTTAATAAATAAAAAACTATATGCACTAGTATTAACTAAAAAATTTAATTAAACTCTAATGCCTTTTAAGCATAAAATAGTAAAGACTTAAAAATGTTTTTTTTAAAATAAGTATAATAAGTTAATATTTACTAAGTTATACTTATTTAAGCTTAAAATAAAAGGTTTTTTTAAGCATTTTTATTTCTTATTTAAAAAAGATTTAAGTTGTAATTATTTATATTTATAAACTTTTTCTTAAATTTTTATTACTCTACTTTAATTTTTTATACTTTAGAGATAAGATAATTACTAGTAAAATGTTTTAGTTTACTATAATTATAATAGGTTCTAGAAGTTATTTGTCTTTTAGAGGCAGGCGTCTAGCTAGGTTATTAGTAGGTAGCTGGGATAGATTAGAGTACGAACATAGGTGCAGGTTAGGATACACTAGAATAGTATACTACCTTAGATGTATTACTAGAAACTTTTTAAGATTAATTTATAATAAGTCTAATATTAAAATATTAGGTGTAGTTAATAGTTTACTTTAAAATAGTAAAAGTGTTTTTTTTATATTATAAGCTATTAAGTAGGCTACTATTATCTTAAAAAAGCTTTTTTAAGTGTGTTTAAAACTTAAGTTTAGTACTTTTAAGCTAGGCAGTATCTTTTTTTATAGGTAAAAAAACTATTTTAACTTTAATATAAACTTTTTAATAGCAGCACTAATAAAGTAAGCTTTAAAAGTAAAAAATACTTATTTTTTACTTATTTTTAAAGTTTAAAACACTTGTTACAACTTTATCTCTTTATTACTAGTAATAAAGTAAGTTTATAAAAGCTTAATTTTTTTATTTATTTTTAAACTAAAAATTATCTAATTTAGCTAGGTATCTAGGCTCTAGGTATTCTTTTATAATACTAGCAGTGTGTCCTTATACTAACACTATGTGTGTATGCTTACTCTAATAGTAATCTAAATTAATGTTAAGTCTATTTATAATAAAGGCTTACTATTATTTAAACATAAGTTTTTTACTATTTATAAGGTTTTTAATCTTAGGCGTATATTTAGTAAAGTAGCTTTAAAAGAGCTTAAGAGTACTTAAAAAGTTTTTTACTATTAGTGTAGTAAAAGTAATTTAAGGTATTATGTGAAGCTATGTAAGGCACCAAAGACATGAGGAACTGGATTGTATTGTATATCTAGAGGAGTCCTTTATAGGAGTCTATATACATGCGAAATGAGTGGGTGAGTCTTGGCAACAGATCATGGTGACGACGCATACGACTATGATGACGACGCATCCGATCATGGTGACGACGCATGCGACCATGGTGACGACGCATCTGACTATCGTGTGATTACTGCAAACACACCCCCCCAGCTTAAAATAAAGCGAATGTGTGAGTAATTTAAGCAGAATGAAAGCTAAACAAAGGACAGACAGATTTGTAAGCAATTTGTATAGTAAATAGTTAAAGAGATGTAGGGAGGTTAGTAGAGATGTCTTCTAAACCTATTTGTTATACAAACTCTTTATGTTTTTGTCTCAGCAGCAACTTAGTGAGACCGTCCGCAGGCATCTAAGCGGTAGGTTTCCAGTTAACATGTAGTCTACCAGCAGAGATCTCTTGTTGTAACCAGCTCTAGTGTATGTCAACATGCTTGAGCTTAGTTTAAAGCTTTAATAGATCTTTTGTGACAATTCCAATCGTCTGCTAATTGTCGCACCAGATAGCAGGGGTATCGTCAATTAGGAGCTGAAGTCGTGTGAAGAACAGCTTCCACCACTCCATGTCGGTACCGGCTTGCGAGAGAGCTAGGAGCTCTGCCTCTGTAGTTGATTTGGTGACAGTTTGTTGCAAGGTAGCTTTCCAGTCTACCGCTAGACCAAAGAGTTTGAATAGATGTCCATGAGAGCTTTGACGAGTCGCTGGATCGTCCGCGAATGCAGCGTCTGATGCACCATAGAACTAGGGTTCTGCATGATAAAGCTCATAGAATGCGCTGTTTTAAGAGTTTCTTGATGTTCCTATTGCAAGATGTTTTGTACGGAGTAGGTAGCGCCAGCAATGCAGGGCTGCATCTAGGTGCTTTTGACCAGGATTGGTGAGGTGGCGTGCTAGTATTGAGTGCGCATGCGCGATATCCGGTCGTGTGAATGATGCTATGTAGGCGAGTGAGCCTACTAGCTGTTAATAGAGCTTGGTCCTCCGGTCGTTAGTAGTCTCAGTAGAGAGCTCTAGGGTTTCGCGCAGAGGTATGTCAGGTAGTCGTTTCCCGCTCTGCTCTAGATTAAATTTAGTAGCGATCTTGTTAATAAAGGAGTCTTAGACTAGGTAGCTGTCTATTTCTGTGCGCATGGCTGCTTAAAATCTAGCCATACGTGGGTGTTAATCGCGATAAGGGCGCTCCTTAGCAATAGAGCTAGCGAAGGTTGCAAAGTAGGTGCTGTATTGCTTTAAGTGTGTAGTGCGGTTTTCGCTAATAATGTTTAATTTGTTAATGTCAAGAGATCATGGCTTTAGTGCATTATTTTGGTCAGGATCTGGTATATATGGCGGATCGTGTGCAGAGGTAATAGGTGGTTCATGCATAGAGGTAGCATGGTCATCGTTTGATCCAGTATTGGATGCTTCCATCGTTTCGCGTACGAGCTGCTGAGTGCTTTCATCCACGTTAAATTGCGTAGGTGCTGGACGAGACTCATAGCTATGCGTGGGTGCAGGTGATTCAGAGCTTTGTATGGAGCTCTGTGGCGTTGGAAGCTGAGCAGGTGTAGGGCTCTTGTCACTCCCATGAGTCTGCTTTTCAAGCTCTGCTAGTGCGTCCAATGACTGAGAGAGAGCGAGCTGATGCTTGAGAGAGAGGTTCTCGGTGTCGTCATCGACTTCTGGTATGTCGATGATAGGGCGTCGCTCCTCGCGCGATGGACGATGATAGATCCTTTCGAGCTTAGTGGCTAGGGTGACTAGTTCGGGGGAGGAGCTTCGAAGGCGAGAGCTGAAGGTGGAGAGCTCTGCTCGCTCCATCTCCTCTGCGTCAATGAGCTAATGTCCGTTTTAGTATTTAAGTTTGCAGACAACGTTTTCTGAGGATCCTTGGTATAACGCGTCTCTACCAGAGTCAAAGTGGATGTCTATGGATCTGCATCGTGCGAGACCTAGTACATTAGCAAAGAAGCCCTCGACGTATGCGACATGTGTGAGCTTGATAGTGGAGAGTCCTGCAGGTGTATTGACCTTTAGGTGGACGTCTCCCCAGCTAGTGATGGGTAGAGCTTCGCGGCCAGCGTATACGATCTCTCCAGGCATTGCGTCGCGTCTATAGGTCCAGCCGTATTAGGTGTTGTTGCAGATGTGCGCGTTTGAGCCAGGATCTAGTATCCAACGATTGATGAGGCTTGGTACAGCGATAGAGGTGCTGAAGACCTGCTGTAGAGCATTTGACTGCAGAGTTAAGCTAGGGAGCTTGCCATCATTAAAATTAATGGGTGTTGTTGGAGCGTTTTGCTGTCTTTGTTGCTTCTCTCGCCGCTGCTTGTTCCTCTCCAGAGCAGCCAGCACTTTTGAGTTAATATTGGGGTCTTTTCGGGCCTGATTGACCTTCTGCTGGATAGATTGATCTGGTTTCCATCCTTTCGTACGAGTAGCAGGGTTCAAATATTCGCATTCATTAAACCAATGGATGCTGCCGCAGATGCAGAGAGGTTTCGCACCAGGTTTGAACCTAGACCGATTCTGGTTTGTCCCTGCAATGCCTAGGGTAGCGAATGATCCTATAGAAGCTGCCACAGGGTTCATAGTGCGGTGCCAGGTGCGGTATCGAGAGATGTAGTCTTCCAGGCTTAGAATTAATGCAAGATCATTACAGTCCTCTTTCTCTATGATATAGAGCAGTGCGTTGGCTGCGAACTCTGGTGCTAGAGGCTTAATCGTACGAAGGAAGTCGGTTTGCGCGCGGGTACCTTGGACATCTGGAAGATTCGCTCTCCTGCACTGCCCAACAGTTTGTAGCCATTTGCTCAGCCATGCGTCAAAATCCTTGTGTGGTTTCTTCTAAAGAGCTCAGTATTGCTCTATAAGTATCCTTTAGCGATTAGAGCTGGTTGGTGCTAGTTAACGTTTGAGCGCTACAAGTTTGTTGTAGGCATCATTGTGATCCTCAATCAGGAAGTAGTGCCGTAGTGCAATTGTCCAAGAGATGTCTGCACTCATCCTAGCTAGAGATTTGCGCAGGATTTTGTACTCTGTGATTTTGCGCTCCCATTGATTGTGGTCAGCGGTATAGTTAGATAGGTTTTTTGCATCCATTTCAGATGGTTTGGTGGCGCCCGATTGATGATCGCTATATGTTGGCTTAACTGGTATGTCTCCTAGTTTCATCACCTTATCTGCTGAGAGCTCTAGGTTGCAGTATTCCTAGACAAACAGCTGTTCCGCGACTGACCTTTGGAGGTAGATCCATCGGTCCTAGTCATTGGTTGTATTGAGGATGATTGTAGTCTTTGAGACTAGCAAATCAGTGGAGTCTGTCATATTGATAACGTATGTCCTTGATGTGGACAAGGTTTGTCCTTGATGTGGACAATGTTGTCCTTGAGTTGAACGAGGTTTGTCCTTGATGTGGACGAGGTTGTCCTTGATGTGGACCTGAGGTGGACGAGTATGTCCTTGCGGTGGACTTGGTTGTCCTTGATGTGGACTTGGTTGTCCTTGATGTGTCCTT